ATAAGATAATATCATTGGCAAACAGGGATAGTTTGACTTCCTCTTTTCCAACCTGGATGCCCTTTATTTCTTTTTCTTGCCTGATTGCTCTGGCTAGGACTTCCAGTACTGTGTTGAATAGAAGTGGTGACAGTGGGCACCCTTGTCTTGTTCCAGTTCTTAGGGGGAATGCTTTCAACTTTACCTCATTCAGTATGATGTTGGTTGTGGGTTTGTCATATATGGCTTTTATTATTTTGAGGTATGTTCTTTCTATGTCTAGTTTGTTGAGAGTTTTTATCATGAAGGGGTGCTGGATTTTATCAAATGCTTTTTCTACATCTACTGAGATGATTGTATGGTTTTTGTTTTTAATTCTGGTTATGTGGTGAATCACATTTATTGTTTTGCATGTGGTGAACCATCTTACATCTCTGGGGTGAAAGCCACTTGATAGTTGTGAATTATCTTTTTGATGTGTTGTTTGGTTCAGTTTGCTAGTATTGTGTTGAGGATTTTTACATCTATGTTCATGAAGAATATTGATCTGTAGTTTTCTTCTTTTGTTGTGTCCTTTCCTGGCTTTGGTATCAGGGTGATACTGGCTTCATAGAATGAGTTAGGGAGGGTTCCCTCTGTCTCAATGTAAGGGAATAGTTTCGGGGGGGATAGGTGCCAGTTCTTCTTTGTAGGTCTGGTAGAATTTGGCTGTATGGGCCAGGGCTTTTTTTTGGATCAGGGGTGGGGGAGAGTTTTTATTACTGTTTCAATCTTGCTACTTGTTATTGATCTGTTCAGGATTTATATTTCTTCCTGGTTCAAACTTGGGAGGTTATGTGTTTCCAAAAATTTATTTATTTCCTCTAGATTTTCTAGTTTGTGTGCATAGAGGTTTTCACAGTAGTCTCAGATGATATTTTGTTTTCTGTGGTATCAGTTGTAATATCTCCTTTTTCATTTCTGATTGAGCTTATGTGAATCCTCTGTCTTCTATTCTTAGTTAATCTAGCTAGTAGTCCATTGATTTTGTTTATCTTTTCAAAGAACCAACTTTTCCTTTTTTTGATTCTTTGTATTTTTTTATTGGTTTCAATTTCATTTAGTTCTACTCTGATCTTTGTTATTTCTTTTCTTCTGCTAACTTTGGATTTGGTTTGTTTTTATTTCTCTAGTTCCTTGAAGTGTGATGTTATGCTGTTAATGTGTGATCTTTCTGTCTTTTTGATGTAGGCATTTAGTATCCCAGAGATTTTGGTAGCTTGTGTTGCCGTTGTCTTTCAATTTGAAAAAAATTTTGATTTTCATTTTGATTTTGTCTTTGATCCAAGGATCATTCAGCAGCAGGTTACTTAATTTCCATGTATTTGTGTAGTTTTGAGAGTTCCTCTTGGAATTGGTATCTAGTTTTATTCCACTGTGGTCTGAGAAGATACATGGTATGATTTCAACTTTTAAAAATGTACTGGGACTTGTTTTGTGGCCTAACGTATGATCTATCGGAAAATGTTCTATGTGCTGATGAAGAGAATGTATAGTCTTCAATTTGGGGATAGAATCTTCTATAAATGTCTGTTAGGTCCATTTGTTCTAGAGTTCTGTATAAGTCCAGTGTTTCTTTATTGATTAGAAAAATCAACGATCTGTCTAATTCTGTCAGTGGAGTGTTGAAGTCCCCCACTATTATTATGTTGCTATTTATTTCTCTTCTTAGGTCTAACAATATTTGTTTTATGAATCTGGGAGTTCTTGTGTGAGATGCATATATAGTTAGGATTATTAGACCTTCTTGTTGAATTGATACCTTTAACATTGCGTAATGATCATCTTTGTCTTTTTTTACTGTTGTTGATTTAAAGTCTGTTTTATCTGATATAAGAATAGCTACTCCTGCTCACTTCTGGTTTCCATTTGCATGGAATATTTTTTCCACCTATTTACATTGAGTCTATGAGAATCTTTATGAATTAAATGGGTATCCTGGAGACAGTGGATATTTGGGTTGTGTTGTTTTATCCATTCTGCCATCCTAAATCTTTAAGTGGGGCATTTAGACTGTTTATATTCAATGTTAATATTGATGTGTGCAATACTGTTTCAGTCATCATGTTGATTGTTATCTAGTTTCTTTGTATTCTTCCTAGTGTTATTGTTTTATAAGTGTTTTTTTTTTTTTTTTTTTTACTTTCAGGTGTTTTGACACTACTGAGTATCAAAAATTCTTTTCGATATTTAGAGCACTTTTAAGCATTTCTTCTAGGGCATATCTAGTAGTGACAAATTCCTTTACTGTTTGGGGAAGACTTTATTTCTCCTTTGTTTATGAAACTTCATTTTTCAAGATAAAAAATTCTTGGCTGACAGTTATTCTGTTTCAGAAATACTAAAGATAGGACCCCAATCCCTTCTGGCTTGTAAGGTTTCTGCTGAGAAGTCTGCTGTTATTCTGATGGGTTTTCCTTGGTAAGTTACCTGGTGCTTTCACTTCACAGCTTGTAGGATTTTCTCTTTCACTTTGACTTTGGCCAGAGTGATAATTATGTACTTTTGAGATGTCTTATTTGCAATGAATCTTCCAAGAGTTTGATGACCTTCTTGTATTTGTGTAAATCTCTAGCCACACCATGGAAGTTTTCTTCCATTATTCCTTCAAATAGGTTTTCTATGCTTTTGCTTTTTCTTCTCCCTCAGGGATATCTATAGTTTTTATGTTTGAGAGTTTTACATAATCTAATATTTCTAGAAGACTTTGTTCATTTTAAAAATTAATTTTTCTTTATTTTTGACTAGATTAATTCAAAACTCATGTCTTCAATATCTAAAATTCTTTCTTCTGTTTGGTCTAGTTTGTTGTTAAAACTTTTCACTATATTTTGTACTTCCTAAATAAGTCTTTCAACACCAGAAGTTCCATTATGTTTTCTTTAAAAAAGTATCTTTTTAGTGAATTTTTTATCCATGTCTTGAATTATTTTTTTGGTTTCTTTGGTTTTCAATGTTCTCATCAATCCCATTGAGGTTATTTGTGATCCGTATTTTGATTTCCGTATCTGAAATTTCAGTAATTTCCTCTTGGTTGGAGTCCCTTGCTTGAGAGCTAATGTGACCCTTTGGGTCACTCTGTTTTTTCATACTGCCAGAATTCTTGTGCTGATTCCTTCCCATCTGGAGAAACTGTCACTTTTTGTTTTTGACTTTACTTTTTTTAGATGGAACTTTTTCCCACATCTCTTAAGGATTTGACTGTAGTGTATGTTAGTTAAGGACCTTTGGCTTTGGTTGTGGGTACTTTCAGATGGCCAAGTTTCTGAATAAATTTCTTAGTAATAGATAGCTCTAGTGTGGTAGTTTTATCAAATGCTAATTATTTGTAGACTGTAGTGTTGATATACTATATGTGTGGGCAGATTCCCTTCCTTCTACCAACAAATAGAGATGGAGTGAGGGGGGTCTCTGGAATCTTGCCTCTTTCTCCAGCCCTGTGCACTTCTAATAGCAAGAATTATGTTGGGATGTCTAGTTTTATATCCAGACCAGTAGGTGGTGCTGGTAGGTAAGAGTCAGCCAAACCCTGCACAACTGAATCAGCAAATGATGAAATGGGCTGTACAAGTTGATCTCCCTGCCAGTAGGTGGTGTTGGCAGGAGAGAGCTAGACGTGGTGTTGTTTGTGGGACCTATGTCTGGTCCTAGCTTACCAAGCACTCAGACATTCCAGGTGCCAGGTGGGGCCCTGGAACTGCCATGGGGTCCCTTAGTGTGATCTGTCATCCCCAAGGTTGATGAGCATGGGGAAGGTGGGTGAGTCTGGGTCTGGCAGGTCTGTATCCAGGCTCCCCCAGAGATTGGCATAAGCACTGTCCCAATGGGGGTTGAAAGTCAGCCTCCAGGTTGCTGGGGGAAGCCTGGGGGTGGGGTGGAGATGCCCCCACCATGCCAAAGTACCTGCTGTGGAAGCTGGGCAGTTCAGAATCCAGTCTAGCAGTTGGAAGTGGGTTCAGATTGCTTCCCCCCAGCTTCCAGCCAAACCAGCCAGGCCAGTCAAAAGGCGATGTGCTAAGGCAGTATAGCAGGATCAGAGTGCAAGCCTCCTCAGCCAGAACAGAAGGCGCAGCTGTCATTTCTGATGGGGGAGGGGTGTCCCATGTGTGTGCCATAGCCCAAACACACTCCCCACTCTCCTCTCAGTTCTGACCATATGGGCTCTATCCCCACTTGAGATCAGTTCACAAATCTCCCCTCCAGGCCCCAAATGATGCAATCGGGTCCTGGGAATATGGTAACAGGACCACAGATCCATTCCTAGACCCTGAGTCCAAGCACCAACTCTGATTAGGAGAAGCAGGCTGGTCTCCAACTGCCTGGGGGTATCTAAAGCCAGGGATAACAATAAGTCCCTTTTGATTATTCTGTGACTATCTTGTTCTTTGATTCTTCTTAGAGTAGAAAAAAAGAGTTCTTCTTAGTTTAATTACTCAATAAGGGATTTTCTTGCAAATTTTGGTACCCAGAAACTAAGGCCTACTCTTTATTTTTTGAAAGAAGTGAATCTTGTTTTTATAAAATCCAAAATTTAAAAACTAATTATTTGTAAAATGCAGAAGTAGATAGCATTTATTAGAGAGATACTTCTAAAAAAATAAATACAGATTTCTTCAATTTCTGTGCAATTCTTTTAAGGAATTATTAAAGAAAGAGATATTTAAGAAAATCATAATTCCAGCTGCTCTAACACCATATGCCATGAAACTATGGACATATTGATACATTTTAATGAGGACAGACGGAAGCTAAAAGATTAATGTTATGATGCTAGGAAAAGCAGTGTTGAGGAAGACACTATTATACACCCCTTTTCCTATTTTAGGGGAGAAAACAGAAAAGTCTGTGGAAAAGAATAATGAGAGAGAATAAGATGGTGACAGTTGAGTTCCTACATATCCACTTCCTGTCTTCCCCAGCCTTGCCTGGGACAACCAGAGAGGCGAACAGAGGCTTGTCAGAGGTGGCTCGTGGACTTGCCCTCAGGAAAAACCTTGCCAGGTGCTGCCCCTATAGATGATGGGGTTGATCAGACACGGGAGCAGCAGGTAGAAGGCACTGAGCAGGTTGTGCACGTCCTGGGAGGCAGTGCGGGCCACACGGTAGACGATGGATGAGGACATTGTTGACGAGTAGATGGTGAAGATGACCAGCAGGTGGGAGCCACAGGTGTTCAGGGCCTTGGAACGTGCTCCATCTGACGAAATCCTGAAGGCAGCATGGATGATGCGGGAATAGGAGGCTCCGAGTAGGAGCATGTCCAGGACTCTGTTGAAGATGCGGACGGTGAGCCCCACGGTCTTGTTCAGGGAAACGTCCCCACAGGAGAGCTTCATCAGAGCCATGTGCTCACAGGCAAAGTGGTGGATCACGTCTGAGCGGCAGAAGCGGACCCGAGAAGCCAGAAACACCACTGGAGCAACAATGCATGTGCTCCTGGCAGCTGCCACCTCCACCAGGCCAGCCAGCAACTGGCCCGTCACTACCTCTGGGTAGCGGAGAGGGTAGCAGATGGCAACATAGCGGTCCAGGGCCATGACCAGGAGAATGTTGCAGTCAAAGACAATGAAGAAGTAGATGCAGAACATCTGGACCAGGCAGCGAGTCAGGGAGATGTGGTTGAGCTGCGAGGAGAAGCTGAAGAGCATGGCGGACACCATGGTGGAGGCGGCACAGAGGTTGACAGCCAGGAGCAGGGCTATGAGCAGGTACATGGGCTGGTGCAGGCTGCACTGGGCCGCCACCGTGTGGGGGATGACCAGGGCATTGGCGGAGACGATCACCAGGTAGAGGCTGAGGAAGGGCAGCACCAGGAGGTCGCGGGACTCCTGCAGCCCTGGGAAGCCCATCAGGAGGAGGAAACTGGTGTAGGATGTGTTGGAGCTTCCATTGCTCCATTCTGACATCTTCCCTGGGAGTGCAGAATAGCTCTGGGGAGAGGGCAGGGGCAGGAGGTCTGGTGTCTGTACCAGCCCTGGCCAGCCCCAGCCTCACCACGATGGCCCGGGAGCTTTGATTTTCATGAGTCTTCAATATTTCTGGAGAGAGAGAGAAAACAAGAGAATTTTATGGTCATAATCTAATGAGATACACATCTTTCAATAAATCTTTGTCCGCATTTCAAATAAATTCCTCAGAGTAGATTTTGGATGTTTCTACAGCAATTCTTACTGGGTCAAATGATATAAACATTTTTGAGGGTGCCAAGTAGATTTCCAGTGAAATTGTATCAATCCTTGTCACTGAGTCGCTGGTACTAGCACTGAATTACCATGATTTAAAAAAATTGGATGGTTGAAAAAATATTATCTCATTTTAATTTGCATGTTCTTTTTGTCAATTTTCTATTCATGTTCTTTGCCCATTTATCTGTTAGAAACTTAGTGTTTCCCTTAGCAATTTAAATATTAAAATAATTATCTCCTTTTTTATCCATTCAAACAAGTTTTATAAATCTTGTTAATATTTTTGTTTTGTGATGTTTTAAAAGTTTTAAATGTATAAAATCATATCTACTGATAATTCTCTTTGTGAGTTTTTTCCTTGGTTTAAAGAACTCTAAGCTTGGACAATCCTTCCTCATTCAAAGATCAAATAAATAGTATAACATATTTTGCTCTTCCTTAAAATATGGCCTTATTTTTTATATTAAGTTTTGATCCACAGAAAATTCATTTTGATATGTGACATGAGGTGATGATCTAACTTGATTTCCTCCAAACATCCAAATAATTGCTCTTGTCCCATTATCTCCACTGCTTTTTTGTTTTTTTGAGACAGAGTGTTTTTTGAGACAGAGTCTCACTGTGTTGCCCGGGCTAGAGTGCCGTGGTGTCATCCTAGCTCACAGCAACCTCAAACTCCTGGGCTCAAGCAATTCTTCTGCCTCAGCCTCCTGAGTAGCTGGGACTACAGGCATGTGCCACCATGCCCGGTTAATTTTTTCTGTATATTTTTAGTTGTCCAATTAATTTCTTTCTAATTTTAGTAGAGACGGGGTCTTGCTCAGGCTGGTTTTGAACTCTTGAGCTCAAACAATCCGCCCGCCTTGGCCTCCCAGAGAGCTAGGATTACAGACGTGAGCCACCGCGCCCGGCCTATCTCCACTGCTTTGTGTTACCATCTTTATCCTAGATTAAGTTCTTCTATATGGAAGGGTTGTTTTTAGGTAGGGATGTTCTGTTTGTTCTTGTGCCAGTACCATACTATATTTTAAATAAAAGCTTTATGGAGACATAATTCACATACAATTCAGTTTACTCATTTAAGGCTGTAGCATAGCTGAATAATATTTCATTGTATGGATATACCACATTTTATCTATCCGTTCATCATGTGATTGATATTTGGATTGATTCCACTTTTCGGCTATTATGAATAATGCTGCTATGCACATTAATGTACAAGTTTTTGTATATGTTTTCATGTCTCTTGTGTATATACCCAGGAGTGAAATTGCTGGGTCACATGGTGACTATGTTTAACCTTTCGAGGAATTTCCATACTGTTTTCTGAAGAAGTGGAACAATTTTGCATTTCCACCGGCAATGCATGAAGTTCCAATTTCTCCACCTCCTTGCCAACATTTATGATCATCTATCTTTTTTATTCTAGCCATCCCAGTGGCTTTTGTTTATATTTTTCTGAGGAATAGTGATGTCGAGCATCTTTTCAAGTGCTTATTGGCCATTTGTATATTTTATTTGGATAAATGTCTTTTCAAATCCATCGCTCATTTTTAATTGAGTTGTAAAGAGAGCAACACACTGTTTTAATCACTATAGTTTCATAATTTATTTTGGTTTCAAATAAAACTTATGTCCACAAGTACTTTTGTTTAAAAAACTTTTTTTGTTATTCTCAAGTTTTATTTTTCCAACCTTTAGAGTCATTTTACCAATTTTAAAAAACGATTCCATTGTAATTTAAAAAATTGGAATTTCATTAAACCTATTAAGTAATCTGTGGAGGATCGACATCCTGACGATCTTCTGTCTTTCCATGTAGTACAAAGCATGTCATTTTAAGTTTTCAAGTCTTGTTTTATATCCCTTCCTACTGGTCTGTGCTGCCCAAGGTCCCTGCTCTGGAGCTAGAAACTCAACACAGATGGGGGAATTCAGATCTCGTACCCCAAGCCCAGCGTGCTGCCTCCCACAGGGCAGCTCTGCCCAAACAGGGTCAGGGTGGGAACTGCAGGATCTTGGTCAGGCCAGCAGGTAGGTTCTAAATGTCAGTAACCAGGAGCCAAGAGTGCCAAGGAAGTGCGACTTTTATTGAGCACCTATTATGTGGGGAGTTCTGAAGTACCAGTGGTGCTTCTATGACATTTATGGGAGAAGGGGGCAGCTGGAAACAGGAGAACGAGGCTGTGGGAGGGCCTGTTGAAGTGAGGATATTATCATCCTATTTAGAGGTGCAGCATCTAGGGTTAGAGATTTTAGGGAACTTGTCCAAGGTCACACAGCAGATCTGGGGCGATGCTGGGATGGGTCATCTGACCTGAATCTGGCTGTGGCCACTCACCCCTTGTTTTTTCTCTGCTCTGGGCCCAGGGGAGAAACAGATGAGGTTCAGGGATGGCTCCCCGGAGGAGGGGAGTTTGGGCCAGGCCTGGACAGTTCGGAAGCAGCCACAGGCAGAGAGGGTGAGGGCCCGTCATGGCTGAGGCTGAGCTCAACATGAGGGGAAGGGTCCGCGGTGCGGTAGGTGTGGGGCTGTCAGGCTGGTTCCAAAGCCTGGGGTGTGGGGAGGGCAGAAGCCAAACAAGATGTGGGGTTTGGAGCCTGGGAGGCCCTCCCAGGGCAGCTGGCTGGGTACACCTCAGCCTTGTTGGCCGAGGTGGCAGCAAGAGGCCCAGTGGGCAGCCCGGGGCTGGAGGGCCTCAGAGACACTGAGCTCTCTCCAAACTCTGTCACCCCTGGGCCCAGGTGAAGGGTTTGCCAAGAGGAGGGACTTCCTCATGCTGGGCGGAGCACACCTCAGGTGACCCCTCCATGGGCTCCACTGTCCCCTACTCCCTGGGCCCTGGCACGTGTTCTCTCTGGGCTCCATGCACCCCTCCACTTTGCCCTTGACCCTTCTGTGGGTGGCAGATGCACAGCAAAGGTGGCCTCCACCTGCTGGACCTGCCCCTCCCCGCTCTGATCCCCCAGGACTGTGGCGGCTCTCACTGGACACGCCACTCGGTCAGCTCACACCGAGCCAACGCGGAGCCCTGAGAATTGTTTGACTGCCCTTCTCAAGGCTCTGTATTAGTTTCCTTGGTCTGCAATAACCAACTGCCACAAACCGGGTGCTTAGAACAACAGAAATTTACCCTCCCCCCGCTCTGGTGGCTGGAAGTCCAAAACTACATAGCGCGGGGCCACGCTCCTCTGAAAGCTCCGGGGGACAATCCGCTCCTCGCCTCTCCCAGCTCCAGGCATCCCTCGGCTTGCGCTGCATAATTTCAGTCTCTGCCACCGTCTTCATGTGGCCTTCTTTTCTTTCTGTCAAAGGGACATTTGTCATTGGATTTAGGGTCCATCTGGGTAATCCAGGATGATCCCACCTGAAGATCCTGAATTCCACACGCAAGGACCCATTTCCCAATTGAGGTCACACTCACAGTCTCCAGGGGTTGGGCTGGCACCGCTTTGTGGGGCCGCCACTCAGCACTGCAGCCCCCTGTGTGGAAAGAGTGCGAGGGAGGGGCGGGGAGGGTGCCCTTGGCCTGGGCGGGCTTGGGGGCGGGGGCTGGAGTCCGGGAGTGTGTGGCAGTCATGATGCGGGAGGCAAGGGCGCTGCTCTCCGCACTCCTGTCTGGTCTGCTCATAAAGTCCTTGACTCTGGGGGCTCCACTCTGGAGGGCAGGAGCTCAGCCGTGCCTGTGGGCAGGGCTAAGCCAGAAAGGCTTCTTGGGGGAGGTGAGCTTCAAACCTTGCCTTGGAAAGAGAGAGCAGCTGAGGGGTGCAGAGTGAGCATGCAGGCTGACGAGATGCCACTCGGGTCTCTATCACACCGAGAGATCCCAGCTGTGCCTCTTCTCATGTCCGGGGCTCTCCTAGGCAGGAATAAGCCTCCCCCCAGCCTGGGAGACCCTCCTGCTGGGGCAGTGCCCAGTGCCAGGGTAAGGTGTTGTGGCTGCAGAGCAGAGAGGGGAGGCCTCACCAGGACTCCATGCCATGGACAACCGGGGAGGGGCAGCATGAGGTGGGCACACATGTCCCAGGGCAACGTGGCTGCCTCTCTCTCTCTCTCTCTTTCTCTCTCTTTTCGATAGGGTCTTGCTCTGTTACCCAGGCTGGACCATAGTGGTGCAGTCACAGCTCACTGCAGGCTGCTGGGCTCAAGCAATCCTCTTGCCTCAGCCTCTCAAAGTGTTGGGATTACAGGTGTGAGCCACTGCACCTGGCAAATTTCTTTTCTTTATAAATTATCCAGTCTTAGGTATTCTGTTATAGCGGCACAAAACAGTCTAAGACACCTTCCACAAGGCAGCTGGCAAGTGAGCCCCCTGCCCAAGTGAGGGGGCTTCCTTTTAACAGTGGGGCAGCTCTCAAACCTTCTCCCATCCAGGGAAGGGACAGAAGCCTTTGGACAAGCTTCAGGGACTCAGCCCTGCCTGGGTTAGAGGAAGGGGCCTGACTAGAGTAGCGGGAGGTGCAGACCAGAGCTTGGCCGGCCCCCGACACTGACTCCAGCCAGGGTGCTTCCCAGCACCAGGCACCTCCTTCACCTTAGCAGACTTGACTGTGGGTCCATTCTTTGAGCCCAAAGGGAAGAAACGTCAGGACCCTGCGGAAGATGAGGCACTAACAGCCTTATCCCAAAGGGCCTGCCCTGATTCGCCTGAGCCTGGGGTCTGACTTTGAAAAGTTCTGGGCATGAGGGCCCTATTATTATTTGTGAAGGGTGGGCCTTC